GGAGAGATCCTTACTAATTCATATTCATGTAGCCTTTGAAGGTTTAAAATGGACAACGACATGGAGGAGTACTTTGAGAGCCAACCCTAGAGTTGGGAAGATATATATTGACTGTGTGACCCAGAAAACTGAAAAACTGGAAAGTTACAGATGAACTGCCCCAGTGAAGATAGCTGCAGCTCTGGGAGTTCCCCATACCAATTAAAACATATAGCTCCACCCCAAAAGTGTTAAAAGACTTTCTTCACAACCCAGTGGGGTAGGTAATGCCTTATTATCCCCATTTTGCAGATGGAGAACCAGGCCAAGAAGCTGAGACTTTCTTACTATCACACAGCAGGTTTTGAACCAAGATCTCCTGGCTCCAAGGTCAAATACATTCAGCGATACCAGACTGCCTCTCAAAAACAGAGAGAGAGAACAGGGACAGCTAGGTGGTGCAGTGGATAGAGCACCAGCCCTGAAGTCAGAAGGACCTGAGTTCAAATCTGACCTCACACCAAACAGTTGACACTTACTAGCTGTGTGACCCTGGGCAAGTCACTTAACCCCAATTGCCTAAAAAGAGAGAGAGAGAGAGAGAGAGAGAGAGAGAGAGAGAGAGAGAGAGAGAGAGAGAGAATAGTGTATAGAGCAATGGACTTTGAGTCAAGAAGACCTGTGTTTTAATTCTGCCTTAGATACTTCCTAGGTGAGTGACCTCTGAACAAGTCGCTTAACCTGCCTGCCTCAGTTTCCTCAACTGTCAAATGAGACTAATAGTACCTACCTCCCCAGGTGGCTGTGAAGGTCAAATGAGATAATATTTGTAAAGTGCTTAGCACAGTGCACATAATAGGTGCTTAATAAAGCTTGTTCCCTTCCTTTAGAAACAGGGTTAGAGTTTGCCAAATTTGCTGAAGAGAATTTCCACTCAAGAAATAAACTAGGGGGCAGCTAGGTGGCACAGTGGATAGAGAACCGGCTCTGAAGTCAGGAGGACCTGAGTTCAAATCCGGCTTCAGACCAAACACTTGACACTTACTAGCTGTGTGACCCTGGGCAAGTCACTTAACCCCAATTGCCTAAAAAAAAAAAAAAAGAAAGAAAGAAAAAAAGAAAAAGCAGTGGTGACTTTGAGCTCTACATGACAAATAATGGGCTGACATAAGCAGTTTAGGCTTAAAATTTGTCTCAGAACTTTTTGAGGACCTCTTTGTACTCCTGCAGCCTCTGGACCCCTTACCCCATTCATTATTTTGTTTCCCAATCATGTCTACCTTCCCACCTCTACCTTTCCCAGCGATACCATGAAACTGAAGTCACTTGCTTTATTTTCTTTTTGAATGAAGTTTATTTCTGCAACCAGAAGTACTAAGTTAAGCTTCCTCTCCCTTGGACTAAACCTTGGGTTATCTATTGCTTCCTATGGGTGATTTACCCACAACAGAGTGGGGGGGAGAAGCCGATTGAAGCTATTGTTTGCAGGTGAGGCACCAAAGTTGGCCATTTGCTTATGTATTTTTGACACACCTCCCCTCCCCCCACAAAAAAAAAACAGAAAAATTTTAAGTTGGTCCTAAATTCTTGTGTGGTACAGGAGACAAAGAGCTGAGCTCAAAACCAGGAAGCCCTGGATTTAAGTCTTGCCTGTGACACACACTTACTGCGTAATCCTGGCCAAGTCACTTAGACCTCTCAGGGCTCTAAGACTATGATTTGCAGGGAAGTGTTGAACTGTGCTGTTGGAGGAAGTTTCCTCACCTGGAAGCTCCCAACAGCAATGAAATCAGTAACAGGTTCAGTCCTTATTCCTTTAGACTGAGCCTTAGTTTATCTTTATCTTTGTATCAGTCACTGTTGTTCAGTTGTTTTCAGTTGTGCCTGACTCTTCATGACCCCATTGGGGGTTTTCTTGGCAAAGATATGGAGTGGTTTGCCATTTTCTCCATTTTTTCTTGCTCATTTTGCAGATGAGAAAACTGAGGCCAACAGGGTTAAGTAACTTGCCAAGTGTCATGTAGCTAAGTGTCTGAGGCCAGATTTGAACTCAGGAAGATGAGTCATAGGGCCTACTATAAGAAGGGGATCAACATTTGTTGAATTGATTTGTACATAGAAAAGTGTTATATATAGATATATAAACATATAGATAGATATACATATATACACACATATGCATATATGTATATTTCTGTGTGTGTGTGTGTTTTCTGGTTAGAACTTTCAAAAGCCAAGAGGGCTTTAGGAAAGAGGGGTTGAATCTGGAACCTAATCTGGGCCTCTGTCCATCAAAGAGGATAAACTAGGGTCATTCAACTTGCAAGCATTTATTAAGTGCTTACTATGTGTTAAACCCTAGGGATACAAAAACAAAACAGTTGACCTCTAGGAGTTCATATTCTATGTAAATCACTTCGTACATACAAGGTGTACATACAGTGCAAATGAAAGGTAATTTCAGAGGGAGGGGATTAGCAATGTGTGTATGTTGGGGTGGGGGGTCCAGGGGGGACCAGGAAAGGCATCTTACCGGCTAAAGGAGCCCCAAGCCCTCTCCCTCTAAATGCTATGGTTCTAATGCTGGGCAGCGTGACAGCAGAAACGGACATCTCAAGACTGTTCTAAATTTATAATTCAATGCCTACTGTTGTCACTGAATCCAGTTCTCCCCCGAATTCAGCACCGTTATCAATAATTCCTTACACAAAAGCATTCACCTCCCCCACCTCCACCTTTTTCTTCTTCGTCTTTTTTTTTTTTTAAAGACAGTCTGCCCTCATGTGGTAGAAAAAGAAATTTGAGCCCAGAGGCCGGAAGTTTATCTTAGGGACTGTTTTCTGAGTCTAAGAATCTGTTCTTAGGGAGGATGCCCCACAAGAGACATCCCTAGGGAAGTAGAGCTGGGAAGGACAAAAAAGGACAACGTTAACCTACCAGCAAAGCTAGAACAGAGCTCCTGACTGCCATCCCCATGTTCCCCCCACTATAAATGTGAGCTTTTAGGTCCACTGATTCCTTAAGGAGGTCTAAGGCTTCCATGGCCCACCCAACCCAAGTGAATGAATGGGAAAGGCGGCAGCTTTTCACAAAGCCAAATTAAGTAGCCTGGGGAAACGAAGAAGATAAACACAGTCAGACTGTGAACACCGGTACTGCAAATGGGCCAGTCCATGAATTGGGGGAAGGAAGTTCCTGGAGTACTGGGAGTTACCTCAACTGCAGCAAGTTGTGGGCTTTATTTTCATTTATTGGTGTTAAAATCTACACTTGCAATTCAACTCAACAAGCATTTATTAAACTTCGGCCATTTGCCTGAGACTAGGGGAAGTCTCTGGCCTTAAGAAGCTTTTATTCTATGAGGGGGGGAGGGGACACAGACAATGCATACAAAATAATTTCTTCGAGAAGGAAGAACTAATCACTGGGAGAGGGAGGAAGGGGGGTGGGGGGCGGGAGACAGCAGGGAGGAGAGTTCATTCCAGCCCAGGAAATGGGGGACAGCCTGTTCGATGGCAAAGACAGGAGCTGGAATGTCGTGCATGGTAAGCAGGCCAGTTGGACTGGAACGTGCGTGAGGGGGGAGTAATGTGAGATCAGCCTGGAAAGAATGTGTGATGAGCCTGCAAGCCAGGAGGCTCACACCCCAGCGGCCATCTTTAAGTGGTATACCATTAAAGATACATATGAGGATTTCACTTCCAAAGCTGAGAAGAATGCAAAAAACTGCCCAACAATGCAAGAAAAAGCATATGCATGGCTCCTGGGCTAGGCTCCTTTCTGATTAATGGAAAGCAGCTCCTAATTACTCTGATCACAGATCTCTTCTCAACCTTAATCATGTCCAAATCTGTAGATTGTGAACATAGTCATGCACAATAAAAGGCTGCTATTTGCGTGTTCATCCTAGTACTGTCGCTGAGGTTATGACCAGCTCATCAGAAAATGGGCCTAAGGAAAAACTTCCCCCGGAGTAAATTATAGCCAGCACGCATACAAGAACCCTAAGAACTTATCAAAATCCAAGTAACTCATTTAGAAGTTCAGCCAAGCCAATACCTCCAAGCTAGCTAATACTGAAAATCATGGGTTCCGTCCAACAAATTCAAACCAGTGGCCATAACAACTGTTGCAGAAATCTTGAGGACGCCTTGATGAGGATCTTATGTCCCCGGTTAGGTCAAAGCAATTTAAGGAAATTGTAAATGAAGCTTAGATCTCTTTGTCAAGTGATATAGCGATCAAATTTGATCTGCTTCAAAAAAACTCAGATAGCAATCATAATTGGTTCCAACAAGGTAGGAGAAACATAGCAAGAATTCCAAACATGCTATGCACTAATGCCGAAACACTAAGTCTTTAAATAGGCTTTATCCTTTTTGTTTAAATTTGAACCCCTATGGTGTAACTGATTTTCTCAGTTACTTGAATTTTGACCTAGTTCTTATGCCTTCTGGATTGTGCTGGTTGTAATTTAAGTTGGAATTTTTCCTTAGACCCATTTACTGGGGAGCTGGGCATTGCCTTAGCTACCACACAAATATGCCCATTTTAAAGCCAGAAAGAAAAGGAGCGCTTTAGTGGTCTAGTGCAGAAGGAGCTTCCTTTTTTAGCTTGCAGGCCAGTCTCAAGAGCTAGTAAGCAGACTCCACACCCCAATTTGACAGCTTTCTACACCAGTTTTATGTGTTCCCAAATGTTGCTAACTTTGCCACCTCAAGAATCTTCATGTAAAGATTACACCTAATAAATCAGAAATTAAAGCTCCCATCAGCCCACTCCATTCCTCTCCCTCCCCCAATCATATCCTTGGGATGGAGTTAACATTGTAATTTAAATAAAGAAATCACCCTTAGCCAGAGGCTGTAACTGCAACTGGGTAACAGGTTTGAGCTAAAACTAATTTTGTGCTCAGTTTGTCTTCCAACTGAAGGAATTAACTGAAGGGGACTGAAAATAAGGCTCCAAAACACGCATTCAATCCAACAAACATTTATTAAGCAAGCCTACTATGTGGCAGGCACTGAGGACACCAAGACACAAGGCCAATTCCTGCCCCTCAAGGAGCTTCCATTTTACAAGAGGGAAGGGAGAAGAGATAATATATACAAAGAGGTAATACATACAAGTTACAAGTGTGGGGGAAGGGCACAAAGAATTCCTTGGAGACTACAGGGCAACAGGAAGTTGAACATACTAATTTACATTTCTTTAGCAGTTTACATTTCCAAAGCCTTCCCGCCCAGAAAGAGAATTGAATTAGGTTTTGTAATTAGTATGCCATTTTACATTTTTTGGGCCAATAACTAGCCCATGGTCAAAGAGCTAGCTCCTGGCTGTACTGGTGCGACTCAAACCCAGGTCTCCCCCCAAACTCCAAATCCTGGGGAGAGGGCTCCCTTCTTTCTCTTTCCCAGGTTCATTATAGACATTATTTGCCAGAGAATATTACACAACATTCAATACTAGAAAAACCCAAGTTACTCTTTCATAGCTTAGGAAGCTGAATTTAAATCCTAAAGACCTACAATCTAACTTTCCAAAGAGGACACTCAAAGCCAAGTGGTCGCCAGTGCTCTCAGCTCTTCTCCAGTGGCCCAGATGAGGCAGTGAAACCACGTTCTCAGGACTGCTGCTTTTCAGCCCCGGCAGATTAAAGAATAAGGACCTCAAGTCATTTTATCAGGAATCAAAAAGGTCTGGATTGGAGGGCTAGCTGCCGTCAGTTTCTTCATCTGCAAAATGGGGAAGCACAATACTTGCAATATGAACTGTTATTCATTTCCTTGAGTATTTAAATGAACAAATCCCTACATTTGCCAGGCAGTGCTGAGGCTCAACTTCAGAGGTAACATTTTTGATGAAGCAAAAAAACCAATTACTGGTTTCCCTTGGGCCTTTGCTCCGAGAGATAAGATAGCCTTACAATTGTGTACCTACCCATAGTCAAAGAGCTGAAATTGAACCCTTTTGTATCTCATTCAATCTACTTCATTCAAGTGGTCAGACTGAATGAAAACATTAGTGGATAGAGTTAATTCAGCACATTGTACTTCAAATCAAGGTGAGCTAATCCATCTATTAACAAGATTAACCCCTTTCTCAAAAGGTACAGAAGTATCTGGGCTAAAAACCTTTCTCTAAGAGCCCTGAAGTGGAGTCCCCCAACCAGATCCCGCCCAAGCCCCCCCACCCCATTTCCCCCCAAGCTGCCACTGCATAAGGTCTTGCGGTTTACAGATGGATACCGTGCAATTTTTCTCCTACTAAACTTATCAAAATTGCATCGTGATCCACCCGACAACAGCAAACCAGCCAGAATGGCCCCTTTTGGTCCTTACAGGAACAGATGATAAGTCCTCTTTTCCTCCACAGGCCGGGACAAGTGCAATACTCTTATAGACACAAGTTCAAGTAATGCAACAAATCCCCACCCGCAGAGAAATCAGCCACAATCTTCAGTAGCAGCTCACTTGAGGTGGGGAAGGCAGGTCCAAAAATGCAGTTGCAAACGCCCTCATAATCAGTTTTGCATGGATTTGCACAGCAATTGACATAGGCCGATGCAAGACCTGCAAAACTGACTGTGAGTAGCCCTGGGATTAATGCTAGTTGGGTGACTGTTCCATCTGCCCCACCCCCCCTCCACCCCCCAGTGATACATTACCCAGGAGCGCTGAAGTGCCCATAGTACAGTAGTCATTTGCAAAAAACTACCTGCACTATGAGCACTTTGGCACTACCAGGACCAGGGACCAGCCTCCACGCTGCCGCACCTGTAATAAGAGAAAGAAAGAGAGAGCACAAGCCCGCCATCGGGCCCCTCACACCGGGGAGGCCCCTCATCCAAACAACTCCTTTCGAGAGCTGGCCACAACCCCCAAGGCTCTTGAATGTTTCCAAAGGGTCTGTCTCTCTCACCCATCAGGACTCTGCTGCCAGGTTGTCTAGGAGGCGGCTTGTGCCAGAAGGAGCATTTAGGGCAGTAGATACTAAGCTACATCACTAACTGCACTAGATGCACCTTAGCACAAGGGACAGTTGATGGATCAAGGCGGGCCCACACCAGAAGCAGATGCCCGAGGGGACTTGGGGTGGGGGGAGGAGCGGCTCCAAGGAAGCCCCAAATCATCCATTGCCGTGGTCATGTTGGAAGTGCTCACAGGGCAGTAGTTATACCGACCTACCTGCACTATAAGCACTTTTACACAACCGAGGCACGGTCTCCAGCAAAGCCGCAGAGCATCCTCCGGTCCTGGCTCTTTCCTTTTTCAAGTCTTCTTCAAATGAGCTATAGAGAAAGTAGAAAAACACTCACTAAGAAAAAAAAATACCTAAAACTCAAAACACACCAGCTTACTCAAGCAACAAAAATTTTTACTTTTACAGATTCCAAGTTACGTCTGCAAATTTATTTAAGTCATGAGAATATGAAGGGAGCCGAGCTAATGCATGCCTGATTTAAGTCACTTGGAGTTTCAGCCCTACAGGATTTTGACCTGTTCCTCATAAACTTAGTTCAACTTTCACTGTTTTCAAGTACTAAGGAAATTCCAACCTCTCTTCAATCGCCATCCAAAATAGATGCAGCCAAATTCACTTCAGAATTGTTCAATATAGAAATTTTTTTCCCTAGAAATCACTGTCATCCCCACCCCAAACCTCCTTAAAGATGGGGGGGAAGAGTCCCAGTTTAGTTACTTTTTGAGGCTCTACATGTATAACACTCTTCACCGCTACACAATGCCACATTGATGTATTTCACAGAACTGCATTAAGCCCTTGACTTAGCTCTGTTTAAACAATTTATGGATTCATCTTTTTCCATTATATCCAAAAAAAGGAGACCAGCCCTTCTTGGATATCATAGTATTCCACAAGCCAGCCTTATCCCATTTCCAGACTTAAGTCACACTTATTTGGTCATAATGCACCCTATGTTCTCTTAAGGACCATCCACTTAAAAAAAAAAGTACCCTATTTAATTCTCCATACCTGTCAGGGGAATATTTATTAATGAGAATCTAAGATTTTAAAAAGATTTTATCCCGCTTACTATTCTAGAAACATTCAAGGTATACCATCTATCATACCTACCTTTATGGTTTTCTGTAATGGTGGGGAGCAAACCTGTCTGCCAACATTGGAGAAATAAGTTGTCAAGAGTGCTTGCTTCTGTTCTTTTCTCTAATGCCCCCCCCCCGACTCCCTTACCTGATGCCTTATGAAAATGTGCCACCATGCCCCATGCTCCAGTCTTTGGGTCTTGAAAAAGTTTACTGAAAAAGGAATGACCAATTTTAAAAGAATGGCCCCCCCCTACACACACACACACACACACACACACACACACACACACACACACACACACACACAGATCCCGGCTATTCTGAGAAAGAGGGGAGAAAAAAAAAAAGAGGTCAAACCTGAAAATCCGTTTCTTGAGGACAGTACTGAGTGGTCCCTAGGGAAAAGAGAAAAGTTCAAAGATTAAATAAGGAACTCATTATCTCAAATCTTAAATTTGCCTAGCAGCTTCCACACTTTTGGTCAAGGTGTGAATAATGCAAAGCTTCTCGAATTCCTTCAAAGGTTGCTCCAAACGCAGAGGGTGCTGAGAAGAGAGACTCCCATTTGTACCCTGGACCCCGGTGGGTGCGCTCCTTTTAAAGAGGTTGGGAGGGCCTTCGAGCCACGCCCAAGCACCGCCCCCTTGAGTTTTCCTATTTCTATTGGCTGTTACACTAAACTCCACCTCCACCCCCGCCGGCAGTTCGAAGTTTAAAAAAAAGTCCCACCCCTCGCCCCCCACCCCCACCCCCTCCCCCAGAAAGTAAGGAATGGAATAAAGATATTTCCTAGGGGCTTCTCTTTTTAACTTTACCAGCCTTCCGTTTACCCGCTTAGCCCTCAAATCCCTATACACCCACCATCCTGGATCCTGCCCTAGACTCCTCAGGCTGGCCGTCCAGGTCTAACCAGGGTCTGCACCAACCGTGGGCACCACGCGTCCGGACCCTCGTGGTGAAGCTGCCTCAGAGATTAAAGAGAAAAGAACAAGGCATCATGGGAAATGGAGTTCTCCATTCAAAGTACTAAAAAACGCGCCAACTGGCAAAACCCCCCCTTCCCCCCCCGTGGGTGGAAGGATGGGGGGGGTGATGTCCACAGAGCACGTCTTTCCCCTTCTTGTGTTCCCCAATATCCCGCCCGTCAAATATGCTTGTTTCAGGGGGGAAGGAAGGGGGGCTCAGAAGGTAAGGGAAGCCAAAGTCGTCCATTCGCACTCCCCCCCCTACACACGCTGTCTCCCACAGGGGCAAACCGCAAGAATTGGGCGTGGGGGGGATGAATAGTATCTTCTCCTCTAGTTCCAACTCTTCACTTAAAGGGAGACGGGAGATAGAGTCTCCTTTCCTAACTCCGTCTGCACAATCGAGGCATACTTTGGGCCAGTTCCTTTGGTGCAGTACAGGTGGAAAGTCTCCTCTTCCCCTGACCATTTCCAGTTTTTCTGCTCTCCCGGTGGTAGAGTGGAAGCCTCCCTAGTCCCGGCCACATGTGGGGCGAGGCGAGGTGGGGCTAGGCGAGGCTCCAATCGGACCTCAAGGGGAGAGAGGGAGTGGGAAAAAGGCTTGGAAACTTCCACGTGGGGCATCTCTCCCGATACCTGAGGATGACAACAAGGCTAAAGAAGGCTGAAAGGCCGGGGGGGGGGGCAGGCCTCCCCCAGCCGGGTACTCTTTCCCACCAGTCCCCTAGAGGGCTGGGTGGGGCGGGATGGAGAGCGGCCCGTCCTGCTCCCAAGTGTCTTCCCCCTGCAACTGCTCCCTGCCTTCCTTTAGCCACATCTCCCAGGAAAATCTGCTCTCCCCCTTTCCTTTACGAGATAGAAAGGAACCAAGTTTGCTCCCGACCACCCATTCCTCACTGAGATTTAGGAAAGAAGCCTCCTCACCTCACCAAAAAGGAGAAAAAAGGAGAAAACCCCTTTCGTCCCCTTTACCCTGAAGCGAGGTGAGCGCAGTCCGCAGGCATGCTTTCTCGCCCTTCTTGCCCTAAGGGTTAAGGGGAGTAAGGGAGTAGGGGGAGCTACTACTGTGTCTGGTCCCTGCCCGGTGGCGAGGGTGCCTGAGCCGCCGCCGCCGCCGCCGCCGCCGCCGCCGCCGCCGCCGCCGCTGCTGCTGCTGCTGCTGCTACTGCTACTACTGCTGCTCCGGGAGCTGCTGGCCCTCTGCCAGGCGCTGCATGCAGGCTTCGACCTTCTCTTCCCTCCTCCTCCTCCTCGAGATGCTGCAAAGCACATGAGACTACGACTCCCAAAGTGCCCCCGGGACCGACCGGCCTGGGCGCATGCGCGCCACCGCCCCTCCTCAACACTGAGCCACTGTCCCAAGGCCCCCGGGGGAAGGAGAAAAGATGTTACATGTAATATATATCTAGATATACAGACACACATATGCATGCACGTGTATGTTTTGACCTCGGGTGCCACTGCTACTGAACTAAGGGAGCTGGCCCTTCCCGCCTTTCCCTCTAATTCACACATCCACACCCAGGGCAGGGTGTCTTGGCTACAGCCTTGAGTGGTAGTAGCACACTCGCGGGCACACGCGCGCGCACGCACACTCATACAATTAAATAAAAGGAAGCCTCCCTGCAGATGATCTGGTGTCCTCTGCTTGCACCACCGTCTCCCCAAGGCCAAAGAGAAAAAGGAAGGGCAGACGGGCTGCGGAAGGCTGGTGGCACTCCAAGGAGATCGATAGGTTACTTACTTTTCCAAAAATAAAACCTAAAACCTCCTCCTGCCGCGCTCCCCCCCCACACACAACTCCACTCCACACATGCCCTTTAACTACTGCGGCTTGCCTTTGCCAGGGAGGATGCTGATGCCCACCTTCTCCATAGTATGTGTCTTTACCTAATAGGAAGCTCTGGATGGGGACGAGACAGATTTGGCCAACCGTCTGAAAAGGGTGGGTTTGAGGGCTTTCGGTAAAGTTTAGCTGAGGCTGTTTACTTGGGAGTGAGGGGAAAGGAGTAAGGGAAGGAAAGAGGTGGGTGTGTATGAAGGGTAGGAGCAGCGAAGGAGAAAGGATGCAGTAGGACCAACCCTCCCCCTCCTCCCCATTGTTACTGCGGTTGCTGGTTGCAGCACCGAAATCCAACCAGCGGGCAAGGGCGCCATGTGAGCCTCCTCCGGCCCAACGGCAGAAGCGGCCGCGGAAGCAAGCACGTTACCCCCGAAGGCTGCCCCCCTTTTTCCTCCCTGCTGTCTCTCCTACCCAGGGGTCCAACCTGAAAGCCTACATCCACTCAGAAGTTAGTACCCAAAAAGCAACACCGAAATCCCAGAGAGGGAGCACTCCTACAGGTGGGCTTACACCTACTGCATTATTGGGGGGGGAAAAGAAAGAAAGAAAGAAAGAAAGAAAAAGGAGTTACTTTGAGCAGCACACACATCCACTAAGGCATCTGGCAGATGCTTTAGGCAAACTACGTATCCTGAAATCAAACTCCCCACCCACCCCCAACCCCCACCAGATCCTGCCGGTGAGACTGCACCGACTGCAATGCAACTTTCAGCCTTTCATGGTAAAGACCAGCATTGCGAAGAAGGCGGGAGGGAGGGAAAAAAAGAAACGATACAAGCCCCCTTTTTTTTAAAAAGGGAAGATAAAGGCATTACCTTGTAGCTTGAGTAAAACCCGGAGTAAAAAAATAAATAAATTTTTAACAATTTTAAAAAGAGGGTTTTGTTTTGTTTTGTTTTTTTACGAAAGTGGCGCGAAGACAATATCATGTGATCCAACCCCAGGGCGTCTCCTTCCCCTTTTAACAACCAGAAGAGACAGACAGAGACAGAGGCATAGAGACAGAGGCACAGAGAGAAACAGAGAGGACGGAAAAGGAAAACCGAAAAGAGATGACTGGAAAAAGAACAGAGAGGAAAGATAGAGGGGGGAAAAAGAGAAAAAGAGAGTGAGAGCTGACTGAGAGGGAAAAGAGAGGAGAAAAAGAGGGAGACAGAAGAGAAAGCTGGGGGTGGGGGGAGTTACATCCGCTCCTCACACAATTAGCATAATTAATTGTGTCCTGCAGCTGCATTCGGAGCTCTCTGGTCAATGGAGGTAAACATCCCCTATTATCACAAAGAAGACCCATTACTCTGATTTTGGAAAAAGGTTCACACGCAAAAATTACTTATCAAAAGTCCTAATTTCGCACTCAAAATGTATGAGGGTTTGGTTTGGGAGAAAGAAAGAACAAGGGAAAGATTAAATAAGTCTGAAAGTGGAGTAAGCAAATGGCTTTCAAAGACATGAAAATGATCATCAGAAAGTGACATTTTGCTGGCTTTAAATGGGCTGAAAGTTTTAAAATCATTGCCTTGATGCCTCTTAACCAACAGCATTCCCTGGCCCTCAAGGACGCCCCCTCCTTCCCCTCTGAGCTTAAAACAATACCCAGAATCAAGTATTTTGACATTGCTTTATCAGGATGATTTTAATGTTATTTATTGTTTCAAGGCAGATGTCAACACATAGTGATTAGATCAAGTTTGCAATTGGCAGAAACTGTTTGCTCTTCTATGCAAGTTGAGCAATTGTCTATTAGAACAGCCCCAAGTAAAATTTTCAAAAGCAAAATATTTAGTCTTTTTTTTAATCTAGGAAATCACGAAGTAATTCTCTTTTGTCTTTTTAAGAGGTTTTTGAAAAAGTAATGATCAGCCAAAATATTTGGAGAATGAAAAACCTGGAGAACAAAGCATTTCTCTAGCCTCCTTCCCCCCCCCAAAGGGTTCAGAATAACTAACAGCCCAAAGAAAAGCACGTGACTCCTTCATGCTTTAAAACTTGTGGTCATGCTGAGGCTAAAAGCTAAGAGCTTGTGACCCCTCAACCCCTCTCCCCTCCCCCAGACCAGAGCCCAAGGCTTAAGGCGATGGGCTCCCACCAGGCTTCTGCCAGCTCCCTGGTATTGTGAAGAAAACAATACCTTAGGCACTCAGCAGAGTAAAGGAAAAGCCCTCATGTCATGTTACATACGTTGAAGCAGATTGTACAGAATCGAAATATATTTATGTTTACTAACATGTGTTCACTCAGAACCCCAGATGTTCCATTAGGAAGTGAATTTAACATTTGATCTCTGAAAATAATTACCAAAACTCCTTTACAGCCTGACTTAAATGGGAGGGGGGTGGTGGTGGAGAATCTGCTTTTTCTTCTGTGGGCTTTGATTCTCACCCCAATTGAATTTCATTTTATTTTCTGACACAAGGGGAGAAAAAAAAGATAAAGTACTCTGAAAATAAAGATTCTTCCGAAGTGTTGCCTGGAAGTTTGTGGTCTTTGAATTTGACCCACACATTGTAATTGTATTGACAAAAAAAAACAAAACCATAACCAAGCAATTTTAAATAGATTTTATTTTTTAGCATTTTGAAAGATATCAATAGTTAAATATTTCCACTCAATTGAGGAATCATTTCACTTAATTTAGAAATATTAGGTACCTCTATTAACCCTAATGATTGGTATCTTAGAACAAAAAGGTCCCCATGGAGACAAGAAAGCAATCTAAGAGTATTATGTTTCTTGCAGGGCTAGAATGGAGCTTTTGTTCAGAGTATATTTACTACTTTTAAATTTCTTTTCTAAATTCTACAGTCAAGTTCTTTCACATTTTAGGCTTGCATAGCTTTAGAATTTCTGTGTGCTGGAAGGGACAGGAGGGGGGTAATGTATGCGTGCTCTGTGTGTGTGTGTGAGTGTGGGGGGGTGAGAGAGAGAGTTTTTGTGTGTATGTGTGTACATTCTTTGTGTGTGTGTGTGTGTGTGTGTGAGAGAGAGAGAGAGAGAGAGAGAGAGAGAGAGAGAGAGAGAGAGGGAGGGAGGCCTGAAACAAAGCAATGGTATCAGAACACTGAACAAGAAGGGAAGGCTTTTCAGGGAAACATATTTCAAATGCTATTTTGTATTTGATCCGATAGGAAGTATTGAAATTTCATTAAGTCAAGTAGAGATCTGTGATCTTAGAGTCCTAAGATAAGCTTAGAGTTTAGGGTTTTAGGAATAGGAAATGCTTCTCTAAGACATTTCATGTATGGATTTTTAATTCGTTTACATTTTAAATGGCAAGTCTCCTGAGAACTCAAATTGGAGGAAATAAAATGAATTCATATTTTTCTAAGCAAGCCTTCACTTGTTTATGAAAACTTAGCCCCCAAAAAGTAAAGGAAATTGATAATAGAGGTAAATAATTTCTTTACATAAACTATGAGAAATTAAAACCAATCCCAAACGAAATTGTGCCAGTGCTAGTGAAAAAAAAAAAACAAAAGCAAAAACAAACAGCATGATCAATAAACTGGCCCTATGGGAAAAGTGGGAAAAGAGGAAATTTCAATAATTACTTATGCTTAGCTACTCTAATTTAGTATAAATAATCTAGAAATCGAGATGTGCAAGTTAATATGAAGTTTAGCCTGAGAAGGTCAAGCAGTGGGGAAAAAAAAAAAGAACCTTCTTTCTGAAATTTAATAGGATTAAGGAACACATTTTAATCACTTTCCTCGGTATTTTTTCCCTCTCCTACCTAGGGCATGCTGAAATTCTTTTGCAGTCTAAGTGAATTTAAATGAAGTCTGTTGATAAGGCATCATTAACAAATAATTTCTAACAGTTATTTACCAATATTGGAAAGATGCTCCTTGACCTAAGTTCCCCATTTGTAGGGAAAGAATTCTTTCTGATCCTGACTCTCCTAACTTTGAAACAGTAGAACAAGTGAGCACTGAAGTGATTCACTATTGAGATTAAGTGGTGTTAAGGGGAGTTTTACACTCTGAAACACTTTGATTTTCCTATTTATGTGACTTAAAAGTGGAACTTCTGGTATTGGGAGCCATAAAACTGCAAGGCAAGTGCAGTCCCCTAATCAAAGACAAGGCCAGTTGACAGCTATAAAATACAAGCATTGGACACACATTGTTTTTTTGTTCCATTTAGTTGGACTAAGTTCACTGGGGGAAAAGTACTTTTTGCACCATTAGATTTTCTTTCTTAACGAAATTTCCCATTAAGGAGTGGCCAGCCTGTAAGATGGGAGGGTCTTCTTTCAATCTGCATTTCAAAAAACTTATCTCCATGACAAATTTGTTTTTCTTTATAAAGCAGGCCAACCAGGGTAGTTTCAAATAGTCCTAGACACTGTTTTTACCCTCAGCCTCCTCAAATGGGTAGATTTTTCCAATGTTATCACTAAGAAGTTTGATGTGGATTTCCTAATCAAAAC